GCTAATCAAATGCTCTTGATTCATTTTTCATCAGCAAGTGTGACCACCTTTATAAAAGTTTTAGCAGTTTGCTGGTCTGGAGCATTCATGTGTGTTAACACAGTGCCAAGGAGGCAAGACAATTGCAATGATCTTAGAAAAGCAATGTTGCTGCCTATCAATCTGGAAAGGGTTATAAGTCTATAAATCTACAGTGAGGAAGATTATTCACAAGTGGAAAACATTCAAAACAGCTGCCAATCTTCTCAGGAGTGGACATCCCAGCAAATTCACCCCAAGGTCAGACCGTGCAATGCTCAGAGAAATTGCAAAAACCCAAGGGTTACATTTCAGACTCTACAGGCCTCAGTTAGCATGTTAAATGTTAATGTTGATGACAGTACAATTAGAAAAAGACTGAACAAGTATGGTTTATTTTGGAAGGGTTGCCAGGAGAAAGCCTTTTCTCTCTAAAAAGAACATGGCAGCATGGCATAGGTTTGCAAAGTTGCATCTAAACAAACCACAAGACTTCTGGAACAATGTCCTTTGGACAGACGAGACCAAAGTGGAGATGTTTGACCATAATGCACAGCACCAAGTTTGCCAAAAATCAAACCTGGCATATCATCACAAACGCCTCATAACACAGCACCAAGTTTGCCAAAAATCAAACATGGCATATCATCACAAATGCCTCATAACAACTGTCAAGCATAGTGGTGGAGGGCTGATGATTTGGTGCTTGTTTTGCAGCCACAGGGCAGACCTGGGCACCTTACAGCGAGTAGACCATGGACTACTCTGTATACCAAAGTGTTTTAGAGTCAAATGTGAGGCCATCTGTCCGACAGATAAAGCTTGGCTGAAATTGGGTCATGCAACAGGACAATGATCTCAAGCACACCAGCAAATCTACAACAGGCTGAAAAAGAAAAGAATCATGGTGTTGCAATGGCCCAGTCAAACTCCAGAACTCAACCTGGCTGAAATGCTGTGGCATTAGGAGAGCTGTGCATTAACAATTGCCCACAAATCTCAATGAACTTAAGCAACGCTATAAAGAGGAGTATGCCAAAATCTTCCACAATGATGTGAGAAACTGATAAAGTCATACAGAAAACAATGTCTGCTGCTGAAGGTGGTTCTACAAGCTATTGAATCATAAGGTGTCCTTAGTTTTTCACACATGGCTTCTCCATTTTGGCTTTATGTTTGTAAAGTAAATAATGACACGGTGTAATATCCCATGTGGTATTGCTCATCTGAGGTTGTATTTAACTAATTCGAAGACCTGCTAAGGGCAGATGTATTCTATTATTTCCTGATACCTAAAAGAAAAGGTGCACTTTCTTTTTCACAACTGTAGTGTCAGTTAGTACCATGTAACTGATTGGGGACAGAGAAGTGTAGCCTCTCTTGCTTCTTTAGCCCAAGAGAGCCCGGTAGTAGCGATAGGTAGTATAGGGGGAAATGAAGAGGGACCAGTGTTGGTAGTTACAGACAAGCTGGAGTCACAATGCAAAATGCAGATGACTGTAGACTGCAGACAGTAATGTCACAGCAGGATACAGGAAACAGGAACAAGTCTAAAAAAAGACTGACCTACATGACAGATGGGCAGCACAGGTACCAGAGCAGCAAGCAGAGGTGATGTCAGTAACTAGCAAGTCACTAAGTACAAGAACAGAAGGCAGAAGGAATGTCAGGCCAGAGGCAGCAGCATGGAAGGTAATCCAAACACAAGTCAGAAATGAAAGCTGGGTCAGCAACACTTATCCACAAAGCACACAGTTTAGATCAAACCGGTATACAGCTGAAGACCATTCATCAATGAGTCTAGGAGGGGCAGACCCTTAAATATCCCATTTGACATTTCTCAGCTTTAGCACCACTCAACCCTTTTTGCTATGCTTCGTGTCTCTGTGTGGTGGAGCCCATCTTTTTTTCGGGCTCATGGCTTTGATTTCTTATGTCAGAGCTGGGCCGCTGATGATTGGTAGGATTATATTTGAGAAGCAGTAGGATTGAAGACAAAATGTAGATTGCTCAGGATACTGCTTAGGCAATAAACATTTCTAGATTTTCACTATAAGATAGTAAATGTTTAATTTTAATAAGTCCCATTCAGTAGAAATAAAGGGATCTTCATTGCAAGATAACTTGTAAGTGAGCAGAACAGTGTGAGAGTGTGAGCAAGTGCAACTGAAGCCAAAAGCTTTCTTTTAATTGTGGAGAGGGGAACAGAACACCTTTTTTTTGCTGTTTTGTGTCCTTGTTAAAGAGATTCACCGCCCGGTGACCTTTTTACTGAAAGTAAAAGAAAAGCCCACATTTTGGGTTGTCATCAGGGCAGGAATAGATGGGAAATCTCCCAATGGGGTCAGTAATTCTGGTGCCCCTCTTGACCACCAGGGATTTCTGTCACTCTGTTGTTGTTGTGGCTAACTGACAGGAATTGAAGGGTAATCTCTCCAATGGGGCACAGATTCAGAGGCTATAACCCTCCCTTACTCTACCCAAAACTCCAAGAAAAGTTTTGGCTTCAGCTCCACTTTAAATATCTCACAACAGGGTTGAGCAGTAATCAGAAAACAGACTAATCTTGATGTTTGCTTCACTTAAAGCAGGGATGTCAAACTCGGATAAAAGCTAAAGGGGGTTTTACATAATATGTCACCTCATTTATTCAAAATTCAGTATAACAACTTGCATAATACTGTCCATGCACTTAACCACCCCCTCCCATTCACTTTCTTCCCGTTCATATCTGGCAAGAGAATAGTCATATTTATCCAGTAATCTTTCTACACCATCCTCTCTCTTTCCTGGAGTGCCTTACAAAGTTTGTAAATACCATGTCCTGCTGCTTTCACCGTAATTTCTCCAGGCATCAGACTGAAATATCTATTATAGTGCTTGCAAAGAATTTAAATTATATTAATGCCTAAACTGATATATATGAGTATTATGTGCAAAATCATTCCTGTATCTGTTATCCATGTGGTTTACTTGATGCATACCATGTGCTATATGTAAGTTTAAGGCGGTAAAATAAAAATTGATTTGGGATTGATCACATGGGAAATAAAGATCTTCAGCCAGTCATCCCTATCACTTTCTAATGTAGTTCCTTTTCACCTGTCTACAGTGATAAGAAAACAATCTGTCAAGTTCTTTTCCCTTGGATCTTTTTGCTTTTATGTTGTTGTGCACTGTCCTTCCCATTAAAGGTCAAAAAAAGAATATGTTTACTTCAGTTCCACGACATTTAAGTTTTGTTTTCGTCTTTCTCGAGTTGGGGCAAAAGGCCATGTCCTCTGTGACTAAAAAACAACCTGATATCAAAGGGGTTTAGAGTGAAGAAATGTGATGGGAACCGAATAAAAACCAATCCTTTATTATATTCAGTCTATATATTTAAATAGTATGCATCGGCTCTCTGTATGCAAATAAATTTGATTTTTGCATTTTGGGCTTCTTGATGTATTGCGTATCCCCGTGACTGTACAAGTGGAGAGCTCTACCTAGTATATTGGGTTACGTTTCCAATGGCTACATTGTGAATAGGTTTTGCATCAAATAATTACCTCCATCTCAGCAATGTGTGGTGTGTAGATCTTACATTGATCCCTGTATGTGAATATTTTGTGGATTGCAAAGCTGACAAAAATTATTCTCTTCCAGTGCTTTGTGGATTTCAGTGGATACCTACACATTTGTATAACTGGCTCACTGAATGCTAGCAGTTGAGCTTTGTACCAACACAGCCACCTTTTTTTCAGCAGTGTGTGGAATATATTTCATATTACTTTCTGCGTGTTATAACTGTGGGATTACAAAGTTGTTGGAAATTATTCTATTTTTGGTTAAACCAGTGCTTTGTGGACTCCCGTGGATTTTTCTACACATATAAAGGGTACCAACTCCCAGGGCAGGCTGCCGCAGCTGGGGCGCTGTCAGCCTAGGGGGACACTGTGACCAAGCAACAAGTCACCCTGTCACATGTGCCCCCCAAGAGGAACACTCACAGGCTGCCCCAATCCAGGATAGGGCTGTCACAGCCAACCCTGCACGTAGCTAAAGGTCTGCATGTGCTCGATGGCTGAGCTGGGGAGACTACAAGGATCTATATTATCCAGCCTGTCACCCAGCTAAGCTATTGATTGAAGGTCTGATGAAAAAAACAGACTATAGAGCAAAAGAAAAATTCCCTGCACAAAAAAAAAAGATAAGGAAGATTTCCAGCAGGGAGCTTAGGTCCTAACTCCTTTCCTAAGTCCTTGACACTAGGCAAAAAACAAACCTGGCTATGGCTGTTTGGGGGTATGGCCACCATCAGGGGCCGCCCCTAGGCTGAGGTTTTGTTTTGTGCCTAGTATCCTATTCCTGAATTACAAATTGCTATAACAAATACTGTGCAATATTTCTAGTATAATTGTATGGTTCAAGATATATACGTAGGTATGGGGTTTTCCGTATCTGGACATACAATTTTGAATGTCTTTTAGTCTTAAATTCTTTTGATGCCAGACTATAGGTCCACATTAAGATCTAGTAGGAATTCCTATTTTTAAGCTGGTTTGATTAAGTTACCTATCTGGACCCCACCCCCATTTATATATGGAGAGCCAGTGGACATAATTGTTTTTTAATTATTATTATTTCTTCGTTGAGTGCAGTGCACAGGCTCCTGCAGACTGTTCCTCCAGCCTCAGGTCCATACTGAGGTACAGAGTGTTGGTTATGGGGCAAGGGGAAGGGGAAGGAGCCATTGGACTACAGGGTTGGTGACTCGCCAACTCAATGAGATCTACGAGTCCTTGTATAGTTTTACCCAAGTAAAAAAAAAGCATTATTATGCATGGTGAAACGCATTGACCTCGTTTTTCATATATTTGGTATTTCAGGAAGCAGTAAACTATATTTTTTTATTTAAATATGTTCAATTTTGTTGCTGTTGCTGTTTCCTGTTGTTGGTTTGGAATTATGCAGACTGTCATTTTTTTTTCTCCCTCCAGAAAAATATGAAGATTTTGAATGCAGAGTGATTGAGGTGAGTTTTATTTCTTTGCTAGCATGCTACTAATGTAATAGCAAATTAAATGCAGGAGTGACATTCCATTCCGCTCATTTAATATATCAAGTTTATGGTGGAAGAACTGTGCTGTATGAGAGCAGTCTAAAACAATGCACAGCAAGATAGAGCATTCTCTATGTTAATGGATAACTTATCAGCTGAGTTACATAGATAATACCCAACCGAGACAGCCGCCAATGACTTTGCAAAGGGCACATTTAAGTTGGAAAAAGTTCTGAGTTATTTGCAATAGTCTCTAGCAGTAACATTAAATACTGCTCATGTTAAATGGTGCATGGCCACTTTTGGATTTTAAGAATTTTCCGTAATTTTGTTGTACTTGCTTGTACCAAAGCATTGCTTTCCAACGCAAATTATCTTAATTTGTTAAAGAGTTTACTGAGCCTCTATGTATCAATTCTGCTTGGACCGAGAATGGGGGTAAACCCCCAGAAGCTTGTCATGAAAATGTAACATGGACAGTACTCAACTGTGTTGTTGCAGGTGCACTAATACAGGTACAATCACCTTTTCAAACCAAGAAACTGATCTTCTCCTTATACTGTGTATAGTAGAGCTCATTATTATATTTTAAATAAAGAAAATAGAACTGTTGCATATAGCAAGCTATTGGTTGTTGGCATCTACACTGGCCTTACAGATAGATGGATCTGATTACCGTAGTTGCTACTGGCGACAGCTTTACTTGGACTGGGTGATATTTTTGTAAATGTGCCAAAGGCAAGTTACAATACAATTAAAAACAAGATGGTTAGGAGGGCCCTACCTGTGAGGGCTTACAATGTAAAAGGAAGGGGCAAGTAATACAAGAGGTGGTGGCTGTGTGGGAATGAGTTTTGAGAAAGTAATAGTTAAGCGGTTAAGTAGAGGTGAAATAGGCTTGAAGAGCTTAGTTTTCTGGCATCTCCTAAAGGTAGATAGAGAAGGAGATTTCTGGACAGGTTTGGGTAAGGAGTTTGCAGGATGGGAGAAACTCTAGAGAGGTCTTGGAGGCGAGCTTGGGAGGAGTTGACAAGGGAGCTGGAGAGCAGGCGGTGTTGGGAGGAAAAGGGAGGGCTGTCGGGGTGATATTTTGAGATGAGATTAGAGATAGTCTTTTAGAGATTGGTCATTGAAGCGGAGGAGGGTTGCAGACACTGAGCGGTTGGTTAGGTGGGTGAGCCTAGCAGCAGCATTCATAATAGACTAAAGGGGGGGCGGGAATAGCCTGTGAGGAGAGAGTTGCAATAGTCAAGTCGAGAGATAACAAATGAGTGGATTAATAGCTTTGAGGTTTCACTGGCTAGTAAGGGGCGTACACCTGTACGCAGCTGTACACATGGGGTCTAGTTATAACCAATTTGCAGAGCCATTTACCCTACAAATCTTTTTGAATGTTCATTCTGTGTGAATTGATCAAAACGAACGTTCTTAGATATATCGCTTTCTTTTCAAGTCAAATGTATGTAATGTAACACTGCATTTTGGCCACTAGATGGAACTGAGGAGGAATAGTGAGTAGTGTTTATTTCGTAAGCTCCTCATCCCCAACTGGTAGCCAAAATGCAGTATTACAATATATATGTTTGCCCTGAAAAATATATATCTAAAGAACAAAAAAATACTTCCAAACTAGAATGTCTTAAAACAACAGATGTGCTATTTTTTAAGGCATTATGTAGATGACGCAAAGAAAAGTATTTTCATGCTGCGTAATCTATTTGGCTTTCATTCGTACTGTATGGTAAGATTGCAGGTTGCAGCTGTATTTGGTGTTTAAAAACTGCAGGGGTTTCTCTTAATTTTGTTAAGTGCTTATGCAGCGTGACTTGAAGAGATGATGAAAATTGACTGTTATTTTGAAGTGAGCATATTTTATACAGTACATTGTGTTGTGCATTTTAAGGCGATCACACTGATAGGGGGTTTAGAAAGTCTGGTATTTTCTGACTTTGATCTTTTCTTCTCTCACTTTCCTTGGAACAACAAGTTGTTTGAAAAGGGGAAAGCTATTTTAAATATTGTAAAGCATTTTCAGTGCTCTTCTGTCTTGTTTTTTTTTTTTCAGTTTGAGAGGTCTGTTGATGCCTTTGTTTTTAGACCTAGACCTATTGGTACATTCCTTTTTGTGTTTCCACTGTTCAAAGTTTCAGTGCATTTGTGAAGTTTAAAGTTGTAAAGCATTTCTTATACTTGAAATCCTTTTTCTTGTGTACAGGTTAGCAAGGAAGTGTTAGGAGCTTAGGTTGTGGCAGATCTATGTGCCACTAGCGGTCTCTTGATAGGGTGAGATACAGATGATACCAGATGGAAGTAGCTTCCTTTTTTTTGCAAGTTTCTAAACCACTCCAATGCATGCATTAACTATCTGTCTTGCTGTTCAATTTCATACAGTATATCGTAGGCCTTAAGCCCTCGTTCACACCTGAACGTTTTGTAGCGTGTTTTACGCTCGACGAACGCTCTACAAAACGCTCAAAAATATAAATCCCATTGTATTCAATGGTCTCGTTCCCACCTTGACGTATTTCCACCCGTCCCTAACGCGCTACAAAACGGCCCACGCCTGAAAAGGTACATGTACTACTTTGGGCCGTTTTGTTGCGCGTTTCCATTGGGATACAGCCAAGTAGCCTTCGAAAACGCACGGTAAAAAAATGCGCGACGGTCGCGCATATGCAATACACCTAGGTGTGAACGAGACCTAAAGGAGAACTATGAGGTGAGTGCTTTTCACTCACCTCATAGTTCTAGCTGACCTGTGACAACGAGACTGTCACAGGTCGGCTCAGTAGATCGGGAAGTGAGCGAACACATACCGTCATTCGCTCACTTCTCGATCCTGTCACGGCTCTCTGCCGTGACAGGGGAGGGGCTGGATTGCCCCCTCCCCGCTCCGATCCTCCAGCGCTGACTGGCGGAATGGATGGGGGAGCGGGGTGGTAAAAGCTGGCTCTGCCTCTAGATAGGCAGAGCCAGCTGTCACTCACGCAGGTGGGCGGATCCAGACATAATTGTCGGGATCCGATTCAGCTGCGGCATCTCAGTATATCGCGAGCTGTAGCTCGCGCTATACTGAGCTTAGGGTGATGGGAGGATGCTAGTTTGTGTCCCCCCATTACCCTGAGGAGAACTATGGGGAAAAACCCTAACCCCATAGTTCTCCTTTAAATTAAACATTAAAGTATTTCAGATGCTGGTTAAATCACTTTCAATGGATGCTGCTCCTTGATGTTAAGTTTTAGTTTCCTGCAGAATAAGCTGGTGCCCTGAGCATTGATCCTGATATCCTGTTTTAGGATGGCTCCTTTCCCTTGCAGGGTCCTATAGTGCCACTCTTGTGTGTGATATTAAGTAATGTGTGTCTCCACTGTTTGCCTGATGAAGGGACCCCATGCGGCCCCGAACGTTGTTTGCTTTGTGAACATGCCCTAATAAAAGTCATATAGCTCAACTGTTGCAGTGCCGGTAATTCTTCTTTTTATTGCTCGTAACGTAGCACCATCCATTCATCACTGCAGCACCCACCACTGATTCATTTGAGATTCCATGGAATATACATAACTTCACAAACGCACAGCCACAGCAAGGCAATCCACTCCTCTGCTCCACCCTCCACCCTTCTACTTTCTTTAGTCTAGTAGATGGACAGCTGCTGGAGACTGCTCTTGTGATCTTGTACTGGACAGGAAGTCTGGGGAACCAGAGCTGAGAAAGATGGAGCCTGATGTTTGGAAACATGATGTCTAAATTTTTGGCAAAAATGGCGTAGCGGTAGCACTCCTGCCTTGCAACCCTGGAGTTGTCCAGATCAAATCCCGGCCAGATCACTATCTGCAAAGAGTTTGCATTTTCTCCCTGTGCTTACGTGGGTTTCCTCCAGATACTCCGGTTTCCTCCCACACTCCAAACACATCCTGAAAGGTTAATTGGATCCTGTCTAAATTGGCCCTGTACCTTCACTTACTATTATGTGTGGCCCTTTAGCGATTTCAGGGACCATACCGGAGGCCCTCTAAATCAAGTTGGTTGATGACCGCTGGTCTACATCCTCAAGCCTGTATATGCATACAAGTGTATATGTATGAGATTATCTAAGGCATTGCTGACTTTGACTCCTAGTCTCAGGAGATTTGGAGTAAGGTTTGGTGATGTCACAATTGTGCTGCTTACTATTCTCCTTGCTGGAAAAGAACAGATCTCTTCAGGGGGCTTCTGCCTTGTAGCACTGGGGGCCCCCAGTTCGAATCCTGGCCAGGTCACTATCTGCAGGGAGTTTGCATGTTCTCCCTGTGCTTGCGTGGGTTTCCTCTGGGTACTCCGGTTTCCTCCCACACTCCAAAGACACGGAAGGTTAATTGGCTCCTCTCTAAGTTGGCCCTCTATGTATGCATGTGATATAGAGACCTTAGATTGTAAGCTCCTTGAGGGCAGGGACTGATGTAAATGTGCATGGAAAGCACTGTGTGTAAAAATTGTCAGCGCTATATAAAATACCAATAATAAATAAATAAAAATGTAGATAAATATTTTGCAGGGCAATGTATAATGGTTTTATCTGAATTCATGATTGAATAAAAGTTTGAGAGTTTAATACTGATTTAAGATACCCCTGAACAATAGATGTCAATTGCCAAGGCTGGCCATTTTGCAGGCTCGGTAATAATCGTATGTCTCTGGCAGCCCTTCCTCCCCCTTCTTTGTCTTCTATATTAACTGTTGGCTTCATATTGGGGGTGCAGGGAGCTACATGAAAATGTGGCTTTGGGGATGTATCTAAAAGCATTTATCTTGTCTGTGTTACTTATTCATTGTTACAGTAACAGAAATCTCTGGTTGCCAGCATTATGCTGTTGGAATTGTATTTTTGTTTGTTCTTTTCACGCAGATAAATTAACCTCCATTCAGTAAAGTCATAAGGGTGGTTGATGTGATACTAAAAGAGCAATCTCGGACATCCACAGACTTGTTAAAGC